AGCCGCTCTCTGTCTAATGACATCTTCATTGTGCTTTTGAATCATGCTTAAGGGCTACTGCAGCCTATTGTGTTTGTAATAGTCCAGGTAAATGTCGAAACTCCCACCTCACATGGTCTGATATGAACTCACAGCTGAAAGAGATCATTGTTACTAAGAACTTGAAATGCAGTCAGATAAACTTGAACTCTTTGTAGGAGTATTTTTTTAACACCCTGAGCACTCTCGGACCATATGGTGTTTGGGTTTCAGTAACATTTTTCCAAATTTACTGGGACACAAAAATTCAAATCTATTTTTGACCATGTGAAATAAAAATGTTACAGACTGCCAAAATGCACCATGGTTCAACAGATTATAAAATACAATATTTAAAGATTGCAGTATACTTAAGATTTCAATAAGTGCATTGATGCCTTTTATAAAGCATTATCATTACTCACTGGAATCAGAATTGAAGCCCCCTTTGAAAAGGAGCCAAAAACTCTTCGGAATACATTGTTAAAACTTTACTGCTACTGGTATTCATAATTTGAAGTGCTTAAAATTTGAGGCTTAAATCTGACCCTGAACTGGAAGATCCACTGATTCATGTCAATAAAAGTAAACCCATGTCTATGACTTGTTTATTTGCAAACTGTCTGCATTGTTTTAGCACCCGGGGCACTAAATGAATTATGCAAAAATAGGCACAAAATTAGTGCTGAATGGAGTTTTCTCAATGCAATTTTTGGCCATGTCAATTGGTTTTGAGTGTTAGATGTGTGGCTAAACTGAAATACGGGTGCTTATAGAGAGGTTTTTTTAGCTGAATTGTTAAATGTTTTGATGTAACCGTTTAGTGAATTCAGTTTTTCTTTTTTTGGCAGATTCTAGTTTTTACACTTTTTAGGCTTAAAGAGCTCACATACACAGATTGACAATGAACACATCTGTAGTGGAATCTTTAAAAGACAAAAAAAAATGATTTCCAGAATAATGAAAAAGTACTGAAAAGGTGAGCACAGGTTGTGGAGATTAAAGAGGTCATATGATGCTATTTTCAAAGATCATTATTTTGTGTATTGGGTGTAATAGAGTATGTCAGCATGCTTTAATGTTCAAAAAACACATTTTCACATACTGTACATTATTGTATCTCCTCTATGCCCAGTCTTTCAAAAATGTGTAAATTTCTACAAACCCCCTCCTTCTGAAAAGCTAAGTGTGCTCTGATTGGACAGCTGAACCAGTGTAACGCCCCTTATCATAAATCGCGAGCTTCAGCTTCCAAAGCAATTATATAAAGACAGTTAATAATGTCGTCAGTTTTATCATATCAGTTCGAGCCAGAGTCAGATAAACCTAAAAATGCAGATGGATCGGAACCTACTTGAGCAGAACGTATCAGAGTGACTCTGCTATGTGAGAATGCACAATGCTGCTTCAGCTCTTCTTGAGCGTCTAGTGTGAAACAGAACATGCAGTGCATCTATGTTTGTCGTCTTTTCGCACAGAGGACAGAGGATACTTTGTTTGTAAACATAAATCCATATCTGCACTTGTGATCATAAGAACAACAAACAATATGCATTACTCTACACTTCACCAAACTCTGCATTTGAACAGTCAATAGCAAATAATAAAACATACATACAGGCGCTGATTCAGAAGTGCCAGATTGTCCTAGCAAAGTTGGAATAGCCCCCTTTTTTATAAACAGCCTTTGTGCACAGCCGGCCTTGTACTCTCAGGTTCAGGAAACTGTTCTCCATAAAATGCGCTCCACACACTTGAACATTAGGGTTGTACTGTTCTGGAACAGAGCTGTAAATAAATCTTAACCACTAATTCGTAGTTGCATCCAATTTCAGAAGGCCAAATAAAGTGCTTTTGCTTTCATATAGAAACACAGCGTCTCCACAACATGGCGGCAACAACACTACTGCGATACCTGAAACCACACATGCGTCTCAATAAGCTCCCTAGTTTAGAAGTCAGGGCACTGATCAGGGAGTCAGTAAATTTAAGGGCTGTCTCAATTGTGAAATACTTCCAGTGCACTGGAACTTTCGCTCCCTGAAAAATCCCACAATGCACCGCAATAACCAGGGAGCATCGTTGATCACTATGCTCCCTTACCAGAAACTACGTCACATTTCTAAAGCGCGAAACATAAAATGCACGAGCCAACTCCATAAATATAATGACACATAATAGAAGATTTAAAAAGACAAATCGTTTTTTAGTAATTCCAGCATAAACACACATTGCTAGACAGGTAGTCAGCACATCTAGTTAACGTTTATAACTAATATTCGGCTGAAATGTTGTAAGGATATGTAACAGAACAATGGGCCTCATTTACGAAACGAACGTACAACAGAAAATTGGGCGTACGGTTGTTTCAACGCAAAACTTGGAATTTATTTATTTTTATTTTCCTGACCGTCAAACGAAGCTCATTAGTCGATCGTTAACCAGTAAGATTAGAATGTCTTTTTTTTTTGGTTTTATACAGGACTTTAGCTTTATATGCGAGAATAGCAGCGTAAACAAGACCACGAGGATTCAATCGTCACATCATGCACCTACTGCGCTTAACTGTGAAAGGAGAAAAACTGAAATTAAGTCTATTAAAGGAATAAAATAAATAGGATCACACAAAATATATAATAGGCTATAATATAATTAACAGATTAACAAAAGGGAAAAAAAACTATGTGCAACAAGTATAGGCTACGCTCGTGTTTGTGACACACTTACACTTACTTGCATTTTATTAAAATTTCTTTATATCTTTATTTGATTAAATCCATCTGATTGCACAGGCGCCTCATGCACACACAAATAGTTCTAGTGTTGCCTGACATTTCAGCCATTCATCATCAAACTAAAATGCAGTCAACCAAACATAAAAGTTACACAGTTTATTTTAAAAGGTCCGCTGTAAAATCAGCGTGCACCGCCCAAACAAACATTTTTGCACTTGTTCACATTTTTGCACACAAACATTTTTTCATTCTTGTTCGGTTCTGAATACCATTAAATGTAAAATATTTGTTGTAGAGTGAGGGGAACAAATAGGCTGTTTATATTTACCAGTATTTTAATATAAATTACATAAATTAATGTAGCCTAATTGTTTGCAATTACAAGGTTAGCTGGTGTTTTTGGAGTAAGATAAATTTCTCTTTCATGAGATTACTTCCTCTTTTTGGCCGGTTTTCGTTTCTCCGCGTCGTAAACTCTAGGGGCAAGGCTTCTAAACCAGGGTGTTTTTAGGGGCGTGATATTCAAATGACGATTGTTTTCTGCCACCACATTTATCAACGTGCGATCATTCGTAAGATGAGATTGGCGGCATACGAATGTTTCATAAATCACATATGAACTCTGTCGTAAGTTGATTTGTGCACACGGATCTGTGATTGATAAATGAGGCCCAATATGTTTAAAGAGCATAAAAAATAATATTAAAAAAATGGTTCCTTCCTGTTGTTGATTAATACCAGTGGTGGCGATCTACAACATTGTAAGCTGATGTTGGGAGCTAGGGATCTGATTGAGATGCACCCCATGCCTTCTTTCTTTGCATATACATTTGGGCGGCATTGTGCAAATATTCCCTGTTAGTGATGTAGATATATGAGGGAGAATTCGATTGAGGCGTTTTTGGCAGGTCTGGATCAGCCTTCTCTTTTAGACAGAAAAAATCCTTTTGTGGGAGGCTTTGAGCTTTGTGACTTTTCATATCTTAGCACACTAAAGAAAAAGGAAAACATGAAAATGTATCATATGACCCCATTAATTTCTAAAAATAAATTACACGAGAAGAAAAGGCATTAAAAATCAGTAACTTGCAACATTTCTTTGAACGAATGTGAGGAATAAATGAGGACCAATTAGTAAGGTGTTAGTAAAACTAAACTAAATATTAACATTCCATTCTCTAGAAAGCTAAGAAGTTAAAAGTACTCAATTTTCGCTGAACAGTTTTATTATTTCCTCATCCCACTCTTAGAAATAAAGGAACTGGGGCGGTACCTTTTCAAAAGGTTCACTTTTGTTCCTATTAGGTTCTTATATGTACACTTTAAGTACCTTTAAGGTACCAAAATGGACCCTTTAGGTACAAACATGTACCTTTTGAAAAGGTACCGCCCCAGTGACAGCTTTTGTACCTTTATTTCTGAGAGTGGCAGCTCTTCAGTCAATGACGGTTTATTGAAACTTACTGCCAGACAGCTGGCTATATAAATGTCGGCGGGCTTTAAAACTGCGGTGAGCTGACATACAAGAGGCCATTTACACAACACTTTTTTTGCTTTTAAATGCACGAAACACAGCTCAGTGACATGGAAAAGATTGCAGGATCTCGATTCGTGCTTTAAAAGTTAATCGTACACACCAATTCAAAAACAGGGTGCGCATGCGCAAGACACTGAAAAGGTAGAATCAAAGATTTCTTTTTTCAAAAATTATTCAAAAGCTTTCTTTGTGAAACGGTAACAGCCAGAGCCCATTGCTTATCATCACAGACAGACAGACTACTAGTACAGGGTAAGCAAAGTAAAACCTACATTATTTGTGAAGTGAAACTTTAAAATGTAAGTTTAGTAGCTGATATGACTAAGATGGAAACTTTCCTCACTACACAGTTTTGACTTTCTAACTATCTATAAATGATTGTATCAGTATGAATTGATCATACAGTATATCAAAGCTATCAAATGTATTTCATGAAGAATTGGTCCTTCTTTAATTTAGTGGTTTGATTGACCGGCACCTTGAAGTGTGTATGTATAAAATGTCTATTGACACAGAGTGACATGCTGGTATATTAAAGCAGGTATATTTATAAAGATTATTATTATAAATCAGACTTAAGAATTTAAAGATGCTGACAAATAGTCTATTCATTGTGTTAAATAAATATGAAGCCCTATGCGCATAATTTTTTATATTATTAGATTGTGTTTAGCATTTGAACCCTGTTAATGGATTCAATGCAAGTATGGCGTAACGTGCAGCATGTGCAGATGTGTTCTGGTGCACATGCAGACATAGGGAGCATTTTATGTTTTGTTTTTAAACCTATGGAGAATATAAAAAACATGTTCTTGCAGCATTTTGGCATATTCTCATAGGACTGCATCCACAGACCTAGTAGAGGAATTTTGTGGGAAGGATATGGGAAGAGTTCCACAGTGTTTGTATGAATGCAGCAGTGGGAGTTGCTCAAGCTGAGTTTGCATAGCAATAGGGGAGTTTTACAAGAACGATGCTGCAGTGTTTTGGGGAACGTTTGGATAACCTTTGCTGCAAACCTAAGGGAGCCCTAGTTTCACACTTTCTCCGTTGAGTTTAAAATGAATTGGTTGCATAGCACAAGGTGCTAACACTATTGGAGTGCTGGGAAAACGTACGTCAAGGTGCTGAATGGTCACAAATGTGTAAGCATTCAGGGAGCGTTTCTTTAATATTGTTATATCTTTAGGGAAGCACTTGTGAAACTGTGCGAGTCCTCTGGGTGCTGCCTTCTTGTGAGAGATCTGTTAGGTGAGAATTTATGGATGGTTGGAGAAAACAGCCTCCAACGAACAGTGAGAAAAATAAGTTATTTTCTAGGGGTGCATGTTTGGAGAAGATGAACATGTTCTGCGGTCTTTGTCTTTCTCAAGCTTGCATCTTTTGTCTGGTAAGGATTTATTGCACTGTTCTCAATCATTAGCATGCATTAATTGAATGTGATTGTAATACTTGTGAGATGTAATTCAGTTTTCTAATACTGAGGATTATTATAATTGTGTGGTTTCCAACAAATGAGGTATTGAGCTGGTATCTAAAGTGAGTCATAAAAACGAAATTTTCAAAACATTAGTGGACACAATTTAAAACCTTTTTGCAGTATTCTTTCTTTGAGATCTCTGAACAATTAAATATATTGTGGGTAAGTTATATTGTGTTCGCTTTGGGCTGATCATCGTTATTGTTGTTGCCAGGTGACTGTTTGTTGCTGCGCTCAGTCCCGCCCCTTGATGTCTCCTGCAAGAAGAGGCGTGGCTTACAAAGTGACAGAAGTATTCTTCGATATTCTCTGCGGAAGTTCTGATTGAGCAGTCCGTACACTACGGCGTTCAGGCAGGAGTTAAAGTATGCCATGAAATAACTCACCACAAACAGCCAATCAGGGACCATGGGTGCTACATGGGGTGGGTCCACCGCAACAGCCAGGCCAATCAAATTCAGCGGTGCCCAGCAGACGGCGAACAGCACAAAGACGACGAACATGGTCAAGAAGTGGCGCAACTCACTCGGACGGAGGCGTGGCCTGACATCGGTTGACACCCGCCTCCTCACGCGAAGCACCAGCACCCAAATCCTCAGATAGCAGAACGTTACTACCGCGATAGGAAGCAGGAAATGCACGGTCACCACGGCAATGGTGTAGCCCGCGCTTGTCGTCTGACTAAAGGTGCATGAATAAACACGAGGGTCGTACGTCAACGACCCAAGTGCCAGGTTTGGAAGAATGGCGATGGCGGTGAGCACCCAGACTAACACCAGTAGTACCAGGGTTCCGGCACGGCCGTAGATTTTCTCGTAGGTGTTGGCCTGGCAGATGAAACAGTAGCGGTTGATGGCGATGGCGGTGATGTTGAAGATGGAGCCAATGACGCTCGCTCCCATCAGGAAGCCGCTGACCTTACACTCCATCTCCCCCGGCAACCAGCCCGAGTGCAGCATGCCGTGCAAGACCAGAGGGTAGGGATAGCAAACCACCAGGAGATCGGCGAAAGCCAGGCTCACTACAAATGCATTACCTAATACACACACACAGAAGAAAAAATTATTTAAATACAAGACCTAAGTTATGGCATTAGAGTAAAGTGAACTGTGTTGTTACATTCAGATCATGTCAAAATACTATATAGTTACCAGTTTCTAAATTGTAAAAACTCAAAATTACATTAACCGTTGGAAATCTGAAGGAGATCGGCGAAAGCCAGGCTCACTACAAATGCATTACCTAATACACACACACACAGAAGAAAAAAATAATTTAAATACAAGACCTAAGTTATGGCATTAGAGTAAAGTGAACTGTGTTGTTACATTCAGATCATGTCAAAATACTATATAGTTACCAGTTTCTAAATTGTAAAAACTCAATTACATTAACCGTTGGAAATCTGACATTTTTATAGCACCAACTTCACTGACTTGACTATTATATTATATAAAAACCAGCAAATTAGAAATGGCAACAACAGTAAGATGTAGTCAAGTACTGTAACTACACTACTGTTCAAAGGCTTGGGATTGGCAAGTTGTTTTTTATTTTTAAATACATATATATTTCTCTTATGCTTACCAAGGCTGCACTCATTTGCACTTATCAAAAATACATTAAAACAGTAATATTGTAAAAATTATTACAATTTAAAAAAAACTTTTTTTTTTAATAGAGAAAATAACGTTTTAAAGCACACCATGGAACATAGAGAGAAAGATGCAAGTGACTTGGTAAGAGAAACAAGAGATTCCATGTGTATTCCAGTGGTAAAAATTCCATGGAATTTTTAAAAATTTTTATTGGGTGATCAGATCTGCACTATCTGTGGTGTGTTTTACATTGCGAGAGCAAAACAAAATGAAGCAGCAAAGAACCCAGTATGCAGCTAAAGCTCTTACAGCAGAAGTATATGATATCAATGTTACATTAAAAATTACAAGCTTTGCAATATTTTACAATAATCCATCTCTCATCCATACAATTGGACTGGTCCCTCAAAGCTGGTACTTCAAAAACCACACAAAATGAATGCAAACATCCATCCATAATCTAGAAGAAACAGAAGACTGATGTCTCATGTCGATACACAACGTTTACATCATGCATCTTGAAAAAATAATTCCACTGATTTACTGATAGCACTTAATTTTCTTCACAAAATAAATGAAGATCATTTGAAAAAAATGATATACAGTACATGTATCAGCTTTAATGCACTTATCAAATAACAAATACATATATATTTATCTTATGGTTACCAAGGCTGCATTCATTTGCCCTTTACATTAAAACAGTACTATTGTAAAATTATTATTACAATTAAAAAAACTGTTTGCTATTTGATTATGATTTAAAATGTAATTTATTCCTGTGATGCGAAGCTGAATTTTCAGCATCTTTACTCCAGTCTTCAGTCACATGATCCTTCAGAAATCATTCTAATATGCTGATTTGATGCTCAAGAAACATTTCATACTTGCTGAATAAAAGTATTAATTTATACAAAAAAAAAAAACCTTCCTGACAAGTAGTGAACAATAGTGTAGCTGTGCATATATTAGCACTTTAAATGCCATTTTATTATTTAAAAATGTAAAACATTTTATTTATATTATATAATAAAAAGTATACACAACTTAGTCTTAGGAATAAGATTTAAACCAATGAAAGGTTACTGTAGACAGGGCTTTTCAGTGTCAGAACAACAATTTCCTATAGAAGCGATGAAGCCTGACACTTTATCACATTACATCAGGTTAGGACGCTGTGTTTTTGAACAACAAATTGCAAAATTCTCTTTCTCTCTTGTTAAGTACGACTGTAAAAAAACAGATTCCAATTAAAATGCACGAGGTTCTTCAGATTTAGAAAGGTGTTTTTCCATGAAATCATTGATGCAGCATTTATTTGCCACTAGAAAATAAAATGAATGTATTTTTAATACACATTTTTACAAACACAAACACAAGAAAGGAAACTTGATAACAGCACCTGAACTGTAGTTGACATATTGCGTGTCTGGGAGTGTGGGAGCATTTGTGTGTGTGTGTGTGTGTGTGTAGGACAGGTTCAGGCGCTGTAGTATTTTGACTGTTTGGTTCACACAAAGTTCAGATCCATTAGATTAAGTGCGGTGTCTGTGACACTTGAGTTCTCCTCTAGAGGAGAACCCAGTGTCACAGACACCACACTTTCTGTGCATGTTTGCTTGGTTTACCAGTCGGTCTCTCGCATGCATGTGTACTGGTTTGTTGGGAGTTGAGGTTTTCTCCTCAGATCAGGTTGTATTTGCATTTATAGCACAGATGCAGTTCATATAGAGTTCAACACAGTACTGTACACACATACACACACACACACACACGCACACACGTACACCTAAACCAATGCGTTACAGACCTGAAATATTTTTTGTAATGGATACATGCATTCAGTGAATATCGATTGAATGCATCTGCGAAAATGAGTCCATATAGAAAGCGATCATTTTAGGTTAATATTCTATTCCTCATCCAAATGACTGATGCTCCATTCACACTGATTTTATTGCTAGAGGTCGGCAGGTCGCTAGTAGCCATTCCTCTTGCTCTAATACATTGGTATAGATATTGCAGCAATGCATTTTATCATGAACAAGATGAATGACTATCAATGCATGATTCAAACACGCTTAGAACAGCACTTTCGGACACTGTTTAAATTCCATTGATGCTCATTTGCATCAATGTAAACCTTTTCAAATTGTTGCATCACAAGACAAGCCCACATTGCACTGCATGGTCACTTTCGCTTATGTCGCCAGAAATGGAATGATTTAAGGTCACCACAAATCGCTGTCAACTTTCACAGCCGCCCATTTCCTCATCTCACTCTCCCTCTTCTTCTCCATTTTGTCTTTCTCATTTGGATCCGTCATTGTCTGCTATCTTTCTCTCACTCGGGAATGATTTAAGGTCACCACAAATCGCTGTCAACTTTCACAGCCGCCCATTTCCTCTTATCTCACTCTCCCTCTTCTTCTCCATTTTGTCTTTCTCATTTGGATCCGTCATTGTCTGCTATCTTTCTCTCACTCTGTGTCAATATCTCTCACTTTATCTGATTTCTGATCCATCTCTTTTTCTCTCACTTATTATTACAACTCAATTTGCCTTCCCTCTCTTTCATCCTTTCTCACAAGATTAACAGGCAAGAGGAAGAAATCAGCTGGACTTTTAAATGTTTTAATTGGAACGTCGAAAGGCTTTCTGAGAGAGAAATTTGGTCTAATCTCTTGTTCAGAAACTGGGCCAGAATGTATGCTGTTGAACCTGAAAACAGAGTTTAGCTCAACAGAGATGCCTAAGCAAAGAAACAAATAAAAATCGGCTTTAGTAGAGCACCACACACACACTTGCGCTCATTACCTCTGTGATCCTGCCGCATGCTGATGTGAGGAAGAGGGTGTGAGGAATAAGTGTTCAGGAGATGAATAGTGTGCCAGATACACAGATGGCTCCTGCGGGATTCTGGGCTTTGACATTTGGAACAACATTAAGTTTGTTTGCTAAACAGATGAATTTTTGAACTGCTGCCTTCACACTCAAAAACACACTGGCCCATAATTTTAAATTATTGTACTACTTACTTGTTACATCGATGTTGTTTACCAAAACCATCATATTCCGAATATTTCAAAATTCAGTTCTCTGTGAATGAATGAACTGTATATCTTCAACGCAAAGTCACTTTGTTTAAAAGCATATGCCAAATGCATAAATGAAATGTAAAATGCTTGCTGTGATTTGAGAGACAAAAAATATCTGGGTCTGGTCTATTGCATTTCCCTACTTTAGAAACATTCCCAGTAAAGGATGCTAATAGGGATTAGAAGGGAAGACAAGGAGAGAAAATAAAGTTTTAAAGCACCCCACGAAACATAGAGAGAAAGATGCAAGTGACTTGGTAAGAGAAACAAGAGATTCCATGTGTATTCCAGTGGAAAAATTCATGGAATGTTTTAAAAATTAAATTGGGTGACCGGATCTGCACTATCTGTGGTGTGTTTTACATTGCGAGAGCAGAACAAAATGAAGCAAAGAACCCAGTATGCAGGTAAAGCTCTTACAGCAGAAGCATATGATATCAATGTCACATTAAAAATTACAAGCTTTGCAATATTTTACAATAATCCATCTCTCATCCATACAATTGGACTGGTCCCTCAAAGCTGGTACTTCAAAAACCACACAAAATGAATGCAAACATTCATCCATAATCTAGAAGAAACAGAAGACTGATGTCTCATGTCGATACACAACGTTTACATCATGCATCTTGAAAAAATAATTCTGCTGATTTACTGATAGCACTTAATTTTCTTTACAAAATAAATGAAGATTTTTCAAATGATATACAGTATATGTATCAGCTTTAATGCACTTATCAAATAACAAAAGCAGTTAAATGTCAAATGTTTTAATGGCAACAAAAACTTACTTACAGTAACTTACAATTTGCAAAGGACTGGAGAAAGCGGAAATGTCTTCAGAATCATTTATACATGTTAAAAAAACAGGTTGAGAATTCAACAAATAGTTGTAATCTGGCTCATATGAAGACAGGAATCATGTATTTTCGTGCTGATTAAGGCATAATCATAATCATATTTTGTGAGAAAAGTGTGACATGGTCGAGCAAAACAGGCTCCATTTTTTAATTCGAATTTGATTCGAGTCACTTTTTCAAACATTTACATGCTGTAAAATTCTAAATGTCAAACAGTGGAAATGAAAAATGGGCTAATATACTGTTTTCAACGGTTTTAATATTACACTTACAGTATATGGTCCAAAAGTATGCTTAGGACAAACTGGATGGTACATTCAACTATGTATACAAGCACAATTATTGTGCAAGAGTGATTCAAGCCTATTATTTAAATAGGTTAATATTAAATCTAGAAACCCAGTATCATGGTCTGGCCCACCAATAGCCTAAATGTCAAGCTACACCAATAGAACTCATTAATGCTTCAACTGTTTTCTCCTAGGCATCACTGACATTAAAAAGGAGATTTTTCTCCTAAGAAAAAGACCATCACATCTTGTTTCAGAAAAGAGTTTAACAATCTCTTGTAGTCAGAAAAAACTGTGGTCAGATTTGCTCAGGTACAGTAACAGCTAATTTCATTTCGCATCATGCAGAAAATTCTAGGAGGAAGGGGATATTTGAAATGAGACACACATGAGAACTCCATTAGGTCTTTTGAGCCACATACCTCTGAGCATTAAAAGTTTCCTCCGGGTGTCTCTCTTACACACATAAGCACACACAAAGGCTTTAATTAAAAACAGCATAACAGAGAATGCTCACACACACAACCATTAATGGCAGCAACGAAGGGTAGTGCTTAGTCAACATGAATGTTAATTAAATCTCTAATGACCCCAAACTAACGAGGACTTCAGTAACTCAATCCCTATTTCATAGGGTAAAAACACACATGAAGGGTTCTACCACAGTACCATCTCTCCTTTACCTGCCTAACTGGGTGTGTTTGTGCATAATATAAATGAACGGGGGTCTAAAGTGCTTCCCGTCGTAGCAGCTCCACAGGCAATGTCCTCGGGGACTTTGTAATCTCACTTGGCACCAATAACCCTGTATCTGAGGAAATTTTAGTAGGTGTGTGTAATAAAGGAGTGGCTTTGTTGGATGATCAAACTGTTTTGTATAAAATGGCCACACACACACACACACACACGTTCAAGTAGAAAACATTTTTCTTTGTCAGCTACGGATCACGTTTCACTGCGCGTTGCTGACGTGGCCGCTATCCTTTGACACTGATGCTGTTTTTGACTGACCTCTGCAGCCTGTGTTCCATTCCAAACTTTTACACTTCGACCTCTACATTTTTAGACGCACCAATCACTTTTACAGCTCTTAACTCTGACCTCTTGTGCTTTTTTGCAGAAATGACAAAGTGCCACCTCTCGCTGAGATTTTACAAGATTGCTAGGTAATCTGCAAGTGTGCACAGCATAAAGTTATAAGAGGCCATGACACACCAAGTTGACTATCAGCTGGCGGCAAACGCCAGGCTGTTGTTGAGCATCTGTCAGCTCAGTTTTAGGGCGTGTTCTGCGCCATCGGCAGTAGTCAGACACTGTTGGCAGTGCGTTTTTGGCCAATGAGTGTGTTGAATCGGCATCAGGCAGTCGGTGAGGCAGATTACTCGGATTGGCTGTTCAGGTTGGCGAACCAGTGCATGAGAAGAAAAGTGAAAGTGATGAAAGCGAGCAACTGACAAAGTTAAGAGGACACACAAAATTCAAATATTCAAAATGGTAAGGCAGTGCTTCTTTGGTAACGGTTTGTATATCAGCAGTCCTGGTTTCGGTTTTTGAATGACAGATTTAGACTATTACCACTCAAACATATGTTATAGTTGGCTGTCATCTTCACGTGTGTTCAAGTGCAACTTTTTAGCCCAGACGCAACGCACAGGGGTTTTCCTGCATTGAGAATATTTTGGCAGCCGCCAAAGGTTTATTTGATCATTTAATGTGATTACTGGGTGATGTAGATGACTGCTGTGCTTGTGAAGGCAGTATGGAGCACATGTTGATGCAGGAGTGAACGCCTTTTTCTAGCCACACGGTTTTATTCCCGCATTACTTTGATTAAACTTCTCACTTCACCTTTGTATGAAATGACCTTCTTTAAAAAGAAATATTATGTTGATCTTACGTGGATTTGCTTTTCAAGTTAATCAAAATATAAATCACATTCTGGCAACTAGTGCATAAGGGCTAGGCTAGCATGTTAGCTTAACATTGCATTAAATCACAACTTGTTTGCTCCAAAATAAACTCTACAACATCAGTCAAGTGTTTAAAAACCTCCTTCTCTGATCTAATGTTATAATTGAATGAGACAAAGTATATTATTTTATAGAATTCTATACTGGTGTGATCCAGACGATGTTGATTAGCACCGAATAATAAATATACCGGAAAATACGAGAGATGGCTTGTGCACAGATGAACCATATATTATTGCAATCATGTTTATAGCTTTCATGTTTCATCATTCAAAACATCTATATCTGCATTTTATTCAGCTACATCAATAGCTGGATGTCTTAGGCCATATTTGGGATTTTCTGCAACTTTGTGGCTGCATGCAAAAATCACATACTTCCCTACTATATAGTAGGTGAAAAAAAGAGTATGTGACAAGTGTGTCCAAATTCACAGTACTTATATGCAAAAAGTACCCAGATGACCTACTACTTCCAGCGAGATTCTGAAGTGTGCATACGATGGACACTTTACCATCCCATGAGGCCATAGGAGAGTATTAGGTCACATGATAATGACAACATGGCAAATGTAGTACATCCAAATTACAATCATACTACACACATTCATACTATATAGAATGTACTCTTTTTGCAGTCTTGGAGTAATTACTTATTCAAAAAAAGTACCTACTCAAGAGTATGCCATTTTGGACACAGCCTATGACTTCTATGAGTCTCACTTGTGGACCTTTCTGTATGAATGAAACAAAAATTACATGAGTGTTTAGCACTTAGAGCTGGGAGTCGGGCCTGCTAAAAATGAGCTATGGCTCTTGAAGAGCTCATGACCACTTGCCAGTGAAGGCCGGCTAAAATCTCATTTTCAAAAACTACAATGTTTTCTTATTTCCTATGGTTTAAAATGAGTTTTTAAGAGGAGATGTGTCCTTGTCAGTGATCAAATGAAACCTATGCCACTGGATTTGATTAACCTGACATTTTCCTGGCTTCTAACAGTCAAAAGTTTTTTTTTTTTTCATCAAGCCTGTCCTATTTCTATGGTGCAGACGGATAGCAGCTGAAATGAAAGAGGGTGGAGAAGTGTAACACAGGGAGCCACTCCAAAG